TTTTTATTTGGTGGAATTTCGGAAATGAATATTGATCATTTGGAATTTTAAATAATATCATCCTTAAATTATTTTTATTATGCTTTTCTGTAATGTAATTAAGTAACACAGGGGAATACCATTAAAATACTATATTGATACTATGGATTGGGCTGAAGAGCAGGTTGTTACAAAGTGATGCTGCCCCTCACAACTTGTCTTCAGCACATCCCTACTTGCCTTTCTGACTTCCCCATGTTATGAAGGAACTCAAGGTCCTTGCCAGATGGTGGCCATTTTATCATGGACTTCCCAGTCTAGAACAGTGAATCTGAATCAACTTATTCTCTTTTAAAATTACCAAGTATTCTGTTATAAACAGAAATAGGACTAAGACACAGACTTTGAAGGCAATCTCTGTACATGAGTAAAACAGATACAGTCCTACTGCAAGGTCCTGTATATCCGTTCTCTCACTAAGCAGTACTTTGACACATGATCTTGGTGTCTCTGTAATTTTAAATTCTCAAAAAACCCAAATTTATAGGTACTACCCAAGTTAGAGCTTCCCAAATCTTAAAAAGAAATAGGAAATATCATCATTGCTCTGTTGTCAGACAGGACACCCAATCCAAAGATTTATAATTATGTAAAGAAAGGCAAAAAACAAGTGTCATGTATAAAATAGTTTATTACCATAATAAATAAAATTAAACTTCTTGTTACAAATATCATTTGTGCTTATTTAAAAATGTTGAGAATCATCAATGAAGGAGCCCACCTGTTCCTCTTAACATTCCTAAGCTGCAAACCTACAATGGAGTTCCTGCACAGCCTCCTCAGCTGATCACTTAAATAGAATCACCTCGTTTCACTTCTGTCTATTCATGCTCATTTGGACAAGATGACAGATGCAAAAGAAAACCCCAATAAAGGATTTGGCAGGACTCAACAGGAGTGTTAATGTAAGGAGAAGCCCCGGACTGATGAGTGGAAGTGTCCTTGCAATGAAATGTTGGATGTGGACCGTCTCCAGCTGACACACAAACACAGGGTCTGAGTATTAAGAGAATACATTCATTAGGGGAATTGCATCCTTAAACATAAAAGCAGTTCATCTCCTGATACAAGGTCTGTGAACTTCTTACTGAACAACTGATGGATCCATTGGATGACTCAGAAGTCACAGATAAAGAGACAATGGCTCTCAGAAAAGTTGAACGGCAGGTGGAAGGGGGCACCCACCGGATATTCAAGTCCAGTTTGAGAGGTTCCAGAATAAGACTGATATGCTCACATGAGAATGAAGTTTCATTTGACACTGATTTAAGCTGCAGGTAAAATTCACATTGATTCTTTTGGACTGTGAGAGGAAGAAATGAAAACTTCTCAACACCAACACCTTTGGAGAGGATAGGGCTTTCTCTGATACTTGCAGTCAGTGTTCAAAGGACAGGGAAGACTCCTCCAGGTGGCGGTCATGGGAGCTGGTGAAGGAAACTTCTATTGAAGCAAGTGAGAAGGCAGTATATGGAGCAATAACAATGACTTAGTGATAGAGGAGAAGCTGCTCAGTTGACCTCTTTAAGCAACAGTAAGTGAGGAGAGAGGAAGGAAAATTGACAGCTCCATCATAGCTGGAGTTCCATCCAAGGGTCTTAAGGCTAAACGTCTTTATTGCAAAACATAGCACAATCTATTTATCAAATGCACTTTAGCAACTTGTATCTTCAGCAGGGCTCCTTAAACATCCCAGAGTGTAAAGTGAGATGTGGTGGTCAGTGCAATTAGAGGAGATGAGGATTTCCTCCAACTCATTCTCCTAGAGTTCTTTTAGTCCCCACACCCAACTGGACAAATCTCACACTTGGCTTGACACTTTCACCTTCCAGCTAAGAATTGGGAAGATGTTGCCCTGCTGTATGGAGAGTAGTGGTGGAGTGTATTTCTGCCCCTTGCCCAGATAGCCTCACTTTTGGAAGATGAGGACACCAGGAAAGGGGCTGACATGTGGCTAGAAGCAGCCGAAGGTTGAAGGTAAAACAGGCCCCAGGAATCATATAACAAGAAGTCAAAGCAAGAAATATATTTCTAAACACTTGCTGGAAGGCTACTGAAATGGCACAACTTTTAAATACCTGGACCATAGGTAACATTAATGCAATTAAAAAGTTGCAATAATTGCCAAGCTTCTTGGCCACCTCCCTTTCCTTCTTCTGCATACATTTGGAGTAGAAGACCACCACATCCATTGCTGGAGCTGGCACCCTCACCACGAAGAAGCACACCCTGTCATTGACCATCCTGTTGTTTGTTAGACTCAGCCCTCACCTTCCTCGGAAGAGAGCATGTGCAGCAAGCAGCCTGTCAGGATGGTCACTGGGAAATGGAGCTTCCCCATAACCGACATGCAAAGTAAGAGTTCATAGAGTCCAAGTAACCAGTACCTACAGGACAATGGTGCAGTGCATCCCACGTACATCTCCTCCAAAAGGAAAAGTATCTCATAAAAATCTGCGTCTGCCAGCTGGTCTAAATGCTCAGTCTAACAGTGAGCAACTTTTTGTTTACCCAGTCTTTCTTCAGCCACTAGGTAATGGTTTATGCTGGAAGGTATAGGTCAGTGGTAACTGAAGCTTGGAGTCTTGGCAAGGGTAGGAAGTTAGCACAAAAGTAGCCTGCGGCCAAATGTGTGTCATAAAAAGGAGAAAGGGATTGGCTCATTTAAAAACTGGGGTTTTTTTTCCAGCAAAAACAACTATAACAAAAATTCCCCGAAGTCCGTAAATAAAGAAGAATGAAAGCCACACTCACATTGTGACCCTACAACCCGAGTATGAGGTTTCACTATAAGGTCTGGACTTCCAGTCATTAGTTTGCATTGATCCCAGAGTACGTGCTTGAAGTTTTCTCTCCCCAAAACAAGGCTGGATTTCCAAACCATCCTACCATCTTTGCCCTGCACATGCAGATTGGGAGTGATTTCTTAATAGATGCCCATCTCCCTCAGACAGAGCTGGCAGGGTCTCTACACACTGGCTGGCAAGGTGCTGGGTGAGGTCTATCAGCAAGTCCTGGTAGAGGTGACAAGAAGTCTCTAGGGATGGATACTTCTGAAGCTGGGTGTAGGGTGATGAGGGGCCCTACCCTAAGGGTAGCACATCCTAAATTTTAGAAGCAGGTTAATGAGCATGTTTGAGGAATGGCAATCTGGAATGTTTAGGGGGCAGCTGCTCAAGTTCAAGATGCCAAAAGCCCCCAGCTTTATCCAGAATCACAGGCATACATGGCTCAGCCTGCCATCTAAAGCTAAATACAATAATTTCAAAAGCTGGGGTCACCACAGGCTTCACATGAAAAGCTACATCTATGCATGCCCTTGACTTCCCAGTACCACCTATGTCAACCAGGTGACCATCTTGGCCTCCTGCACAGATGGCCAAGTCCTGGAACATTTATACCACTGAGCAGTACTCTCAGAGCCGTGGGTAGACCTCAACAAGGGACTTCCAAACACTGAGTATCTTTGGTAGGACAAGGCTCCACCTCTCAGGTTCCCTAGGAATACTAGGATTCTGAATCTTAAAAGCAAAGCAATGCCAGGCAGCGGGGCAGGGTCTCCATAGCATGGCACATGCTGTCACCTGCAGGCCTAATCCCAAACTCTGAAAGCTGACTGTGGGGCCAAACTTCCAAACTTGCTTGGCAAGATTAGGGTCCTGGTGCCCTTCTCTACTATGTATTTCGGCTAGCTCCTCTTTCCTTTCCTGATGCCATTGAGAGATGCCAAAGCCCTCCACTAATCTGCCCCATGTGACTGAGGCAATGAGAGTCCCTGAGCATCAGGGTGAAGGGACTTGAATGGCCCAGAAGCACTCCTTGTGGCTCTGAACTCTACTTTTCCCATAGACCACAGTTCAATGGCCAACTCTCCCCATCTCTTTACTGAGACAGCTCAAAAACAGCTGTTTCATCCATGTTTTCTCCAGAAGAGAGCACAATCATCATTCTTTTTTTTAAGTAAGAAATAAAGGTTGGCTTTCAAATAAGGCCAAACATGGCTCTCTAGTGTCTTCTAATGACCCCATGCAGTGGACAAATACCCTTATAAGAATCAAAATATAAACATAGCACTTGCTACAATCATTTTTCTGAGGTGTGTGTGTGTGTGTGTGTGTGTGTGTGTATGCTTTGTTAGAAAGCAACTCTGGGCACATGCCCCTTCCTGCTGATGCTCCATACCCTGAGGAATGCCTTGGGAACACTTGGGAAGAGGTCAAAAAAGGAAAAGAAGCAAAGCAGCTTGAGCCACGAGGCCTGCAGCATGGAGCAAGACCCAAGGGTCACTTGAGGCTTCTGGAGCCCCCCCGCCCCCCGTTGACTGTCCCATAAGAGAACAGAGAATCCCGGGAGCCAAGGCCCCCTACTCCAGTCCTTACACTTGCCTCACCTCTTCTGGGCAAGGAAACCTAGGATCCCAGCTCTGAGCATCTGTGGGAGGCATGCACAGCACCAACTAGTTTGACCTTGAACAGCTCTACTCTTCCTGCCCTTCAATCTCCCCTTGTCCCCAGCTTGTTACAAGTGATGACTATAGGAAAATAGACGGTGATGTCAGATGCTGGCTGTACAGGGATGGGGAATGCTGGGATGTCCTGTGCCCACTGCAGTCTTTGGGGGTCTTGGTAAAGGAGCCTAGCGTGATCTACATATGAGAGGTCCTTGACCCTCTCCCACCAGTCCCCAAATGGATGCCATCTTTTGTGGTAGTTTCACTGTTTTATAAATACCATGGTGGTAAAAAGATTTAAAATGAAGGAAAATACCATTTAGCATGCCCCTTCTTCCAGAATTGTGCAAAAACTGTTCAAATGCAGCTGCCATCTTGCAGGATGGGGCACGTGACACTGCCCCTATCTTTTTTCCAGAGAGAGTGTGTGCACGCCTAAGCCACTGATCCCACTTTGATTTTCTGTCAGGAAAAGCCTACTTGGAAAACTGTTGTGGTGGGGTGGTATCTGGGCAGGGGTGCAGGCTTTTGTCTTTGACTTTCGTTTGTTTATTTTAAAACAAACCTCTCAGCTGGCTCCAAAAATGTCTCTCTCTGATTCTGGGGACTGGGGCCTTGATATTTCAAACAGCTCTTGAGGAGACTGTGAGAATCTTCTGGAAGTTAATATCCTGAGTAGCTCAGAGAGCTGTTTCTCAATATTGGTCATTTTGGTGTTCAAGGCCTTGATGTCTTCCTTCAGCTCATGCTTCACCTCCAGGACTGTGGCCTGCAGCGTCTGCTCAGGGATGGGGTAGAAGGAATGCTTGACCTCTGCCAAGATGGGGCTCCGGTCCTGAGGACTCCTGGCCTCACCTGCGTTGTCCAGACGCAGGTCACTCTTGGTGATGCCGCTGTCACACGAGTCTGTCTTCTTCAGTGTGGCCTCACCTGATGCCTTTGTCCTCTCAGGGAGTGTCTCCATTGACTCAGCCTTGGACACCTTGTTCCAGTCCTCGCCCTTCCCACAAGAATCTTTGAAGCGGGCCCAGCCTTTGTGCTTGACACAGTCACCGCTACTGCCCCTGGGGCCCAGGCACTCAGACCCTGGTGCATGCAACTTGGCATGGTCTGACACTCTGGAGGTGGAGGCTGCCTGGAAGGACACAGGGGTAGCAGGGCTCTCACGGACGGTGACCACACTGGCCTTCACAAGACTGTGGTTGGCTGAGGCACGCTCTGTGAGGGCGTTACCCTTCTCCACATCCAGGTCATCCAGGTCCCGGCCCCCTCTCTCTGCTGCCAACCTGGCCTCTTTCTGCTGTCGGAACCTCTGGAAGAGTCTCCGGACAGGGTGATCAGGAGGCAAGATCAGGGGGGCCTCATTCTTCCTTTTCATGCGCTCTTCCTCTTCTCGTTTCACGTCGCTGATCTTCCGGAACACAATCTGGAGGGAGACAGAAGGACAAACTGTTAAGTGGGTGGTGACTCTAACCACCACCTCAGTCCCGCTTCACAACTCTGTCCAGCTCAGAGGCCACCAAGAGGATGAGGCCCACACTGTGTTCACAGCCCTGAAGGCCTTAAGAGCTTTTCCTCATGGCTGACATCACTTTGCTTGATAATGGTTATTGGCTCTCCAATAGCAGGAAATTGGCTTTCGTTGTCACCCTCTTTGGGAATAGTAAACCCATCCCCACAGGCTAGGAGGCTGGAGACTCCAAATGATACCGTCCCAGGATGCTGTCCTGGCCTCTGAGCATGGAACCCTTTTAGCCTATCCTTGCCTACAATTAAAATTACCCGCTGATTAAAAAAAAAATCACTTTCCAGTTCCTACCTCAGACCTAATCCATACGTATCTCCAGAGGGGAGCCCTTGAATCTGTACAATAGAAAGTTCCCTAGCATTCTGGTACGCAAAAATTTGATTATCTATGGTTTAAATCACACTCCAGGGCAAGAAAGTCATCTGAAACTGCAGGGCTACAGCTAGGGCTGCCATTGTCATCCATAGACTAGACCAAGAGAATATGGTTGTCTATTACAAGTAAAAGGTAGTCTCATACAGAAGCCCTCCTCTCCTCAGTAGAGCAAAGACTCATGAACTTGAACATAAGCTTTTCCTAACAATAACACCCAACATTTGGGCAGTGCTTTGCAGTTTACAAGACAAATTAGTGTTAGTTCCTATAATCCTTATTGCAGGGTCATTGGAACATGATCATTTAGCAGTGAGGAAACCTGACACAAAATCACATAACAGACAAGTTGCCTATAAGGGTCTTACACCCAAGTCATCAAACCCCAGATTCATTAGGAAGCCAACAGGTAATTATTGGCCATGACACTACTTCATCCAATGCATAGACAGTCAGCAAAAGAGACTCAAGTCTCTGAGTATACGTAAGTCACATGAGGCCAAAATCCATCTGATTATTGGGGAGGCTTGCAATTTCTAGTTTATATTACATGTGGCAGTTAGACTCTAGAACACGTTTTGACTCATACCCTATCTAACTCTGAAGGAAGCAACTTGTGATAGGTTGTCTTTTTAGGTTGAGCACCAGAGGTATTGCAATCAGAGGAGTAGAGGCTTTCTCCATCAGAAATCATGAATAAGAATTTGGATAATGAAGAAGAGACTACATACAGAAAAGCCAAAGAAAGGAGAGCATGGAGGAACACTAAAGAGTGATGGGGTATCTAAAAAATATGGTGAATCAAAAAGATGACTCAAACAGCTTGCAGTACCCCATCCATCACTGGGGAAGCTGAAACCTCCAACTCAAGTAGGTTCTCTGCTTACTCAAGGAAGTAAAAGGAAACTTGGACCAATAGATACACAAATCACAGTATAGAAAAACCAAGGCAATGTCTTCTCTCCAAACTCCCACCAAAACAATTCAACATCTGAATCCAAAGGTAATGAATTAGCTAAAATATCAGAGAATTCAAAAACCTACTGTTAAAAATTATCAGAGGCCTTAAAGAAGATTCAAATGAACAAATAAATGAAGTTAGGAGATCAATCCAAGACTTCAACAAGAAAGCCAGCACCATGGAAAAGAAATTCAAGGAAATGGAAATTATGAAAAATAATCAAGTAGAAATGAAAACCTTAATAAATCAAATATAAACCAACCATAGTGGATTGTATCATCAGTAGACAAGATCAAACAGAAGAAAGAATATCAGAGATAGAGGACGAGATTGAGAAGTTATTGCATGCAAAGAATAACAAAGAATAAAATGAATACAACATAAAGCTCTCAGACACAATCAAGAGACCAAACCTAAGAACTTTCAGGGTAGAAGTAGCCAAAACACAACTAAGGCACAGGAAACCTATCCAATGAAATCATAGCAGAAAATTCCCCAAATCTATACAACGATATAGACACCCATACACAGGAGGCATTTGGAACTCCAAATAGACATGATCATTAAAGAATCCCAATGACACATCTGAATTGAAATAGGAAAACTAAAGAACAATGAAAGGATACTGAAAGCTACAAGAGAAAAACACCAGCTTCCATACAAAGATAAACACATAAGAATCACCTCAGACCACTCAACACAAATCCTAAAGGCCAGGAAAGCATGGAGCAGTTTAATTCAAGCTCTGAGAGAGAGTAACTGCCAATCAAGAGACTATCCAGCAAAGATGTCCTTCGATGGTGATGGAGAAACAAGGACCTTCTAAGACTAAAGGTCACGTCCATCAAGCCTGCGTTACAAGGGATACTCAAGGGAATAATTCACATGGAAAAGCATGAAAAACGATCACAAACACAAGAGCCTAGGAAGGTAGCAAGCATGATCAACTCAGTAAACCAGCAAAACTTGCAGCTGAACAAAGTCAAAAGTAAAGAGTAATCAACACGAGTCTCAATTTGGGGAGCAGGGGAAGCAACAGAAACAAGAATCAGTAAGTACCTCTCAATCATAACCCTCAAGGTAAGTGGACTTAGCTCTGCAATCAAAAGACATATCTGATTCCTAACAGTACCACCCCTCTTTGCAGTTGAGTGGGTTTCTGTTCTGTATAAGCAACAATTCCAGAACAAGATGGCAGTTGTTTAAATCCATATCTTCTCTGAAAGTTCCCTGTGGGCTTAGAATAGTGCTTTACATGTCACATTGTCTTACTTTTAAAAGTTTTACTAATCTCTAAAAGATCAGAGATTGTTTGTTTTGTTCACTTTCCCAGCCCTTAGGAGTGTCTGATACCTAGGGTACACTTTATAAATTCTTATGGAATAAATGAATGAAAACAGATAAATCTCAGCTAATGAGTCGTAAGCGAACTTCTTTGGCCTGGAAAGATGAGACCACTGAGGTCATCACCCATTTTATGAAAGGAAGTGTTTGACTCAGAACACACAGTCAGCATCCAACATCAGGGACAACCTTGAGACTTGAAATGAGATGTCTCCAGGCTAGGGAAAAGGAAATTCTGCCAAAATTGAGGAGGCAACACAAAACTTATCCTGAGAAGTTTTACAACAGAGTGTAACCGATCTGTCAGATCGGTTTAGAAAGGTTTAATACGTGTTCAGGCTGGGTGTTCATGGCTACACTATGTCATTTAGCCTGACACTAATCCAGATACTACATTCAGATGTTATGGGGCAGCCAGGAACACTCAGCCTGGTCCTCTCCTTGGGAGGGGTGGGAGTAGCTGGATCTACACTGCTTCTTCTGAAGCCTGTTGGCTTCTTCACAGTGTCATCATGAGGTTCATTTGGGCATAACTGTCTCAACCACTGGCAGGTGCAAATGTCATCAGCACCCCTCAGGGGACAAGGGGACACCTCTAACAGAGATGATGGCGCCCGACAGCTTTGGTAATTTGGAGTCAAGAGCTCTGCTTGCTAACTTTGGCTTCTTTTTGGAGAAGTTAATCGTGGAGTTTGTCTCAGAAGTGGGCATGAGTGTGCATTTTGACAAGTATGTTAGATCAGAGTGGGCAGGGGTGGCTGCATGACTCATGACAATGAGGTCTGTGCCACCAGTACAGCAATCTCTTGTCATCCCCTGAGATGCTCACAGTTCCCTGTGGCAAAAGTGTACCTTAGGGATGGTGGGCAAGACCAAAGACCCAAGGTGTCCTCTGTTCCACTCAGGCTCTGGTTGGAGACCTGGCTCTCCAGATTTCCCAAAGGCTTTCAGGAGACTTTAATAGGTACTATGAGGGGGAAAATGGTTCAAGGTGAAATAATTTTAAGCCATTATTAAATCAGTTGCCTTATTGTAGGACTTCTCACAGCCTTAACATACTAATGTGCCTTATGAATGTCTAAGAGAAAGGCATTATACTCAGCATTTCTAAATCCATTTCCCTCAGAACTGCCTCTTAAAAATACTAAAATTCCCCACAGTATGGAATGGGAATACTCTTTGTATTTGTGCATAGTTTCCTGTTCCAGGATAGGTGGTGTCTCCTAAAGATGAGATGTGGGGGCCTTCTCTGCAGATGTATTACTTCCTGGTGGATGGGCAGGCATCATCTGGTCTCTGCTCAATGCTACTCCAGCCATGCAGAACAATTTCAGGTCCTGGGGAAAGTCTGGTTCACTGCCTGAGGCCCCCCTCAGTCTCATCTTCTGCCACATCCCTTCAACCTGACTTCTACGGAAACTTTGGGATTCAGCTTCAGAGTCATCTATTCTAAAAAGCTTCCCCAATTTACCCCACCCACAGATCAGAAAACCCTTCCTGACGGTGCCAAGCATGGGACAGCCATGTAGTCTTCCACAAATATTGCAACCCACTTATTTTTTCCTTTAGATAGAAGTTCTCTGAAGACAGACAATGATATGTTTTTCATCTTTAGAATCATGTCCAGCATATAAAGTGCTCAATAAGTCAATGAATGTCAGTGCATGAATTATGGCTATCCAACTATTTGTGAGACCCATGCTCTGGTGAAAGAAGTGACCCACACCCTCTGCTTCTAATGTTTGTGGTCTAATGAGAAGAGGAAAAATTACAGGTGGATTTATTCTATGCACAACACACAGGTTCCTGAAGGGTAACATGTAAATAAAATCCTAAAGGACTTCCACTCCTCTTTATTTCATACTGATTCCACACTGATTTCATCGTCCCCATCTGACTGATTTTATTTTTCAAACTTTTACATAAGCTCAGAGAGCTGATATTTATAAGTAGCCCTAAGACAAACTGCTTTTGTAATGAGGACAATTGCTCTTGAATTTTCCTTTTGTTTAAACTTATATCTTCCTAGTGAAGGTACTCCAGTTTTGTGGGAAGAGTCTAACAGGTGGCAATCTGAAGACTGGAGTTTCTGTTTCAGCCCTGGTACCATGTACACCATATCCTTAGGGAGCTGCATTGTGCCTGCTAGACAGCACCACCCTCATGCCCCAGCAGTAATGTGCCAGGTTTCTGTCTCTGTTGAGCTTCATTATAAGATTTC